GCAACCTTATTGTTGCAAAACATGCTGATGGCATTGGTTACAGAAGGATTTCTATACTTCTGAATGTTCCAGTGAACACTGTTGGGGCCATAATCCGGAAGTGGAAAGAACATAATTTCACCATAAACCGGCCAAGACCAGGTGCTCCTCGCAAGATTTCTGACAGAGGAGTGGAAAATAATTATCAGAGGAGTTGTCCAAGAGCCAAGGATCACTTGTGGAGAGCTTCAGAAAGACCTGGAATTAGCAGGTACAATTGAAAAAGAAAGAAAACAATAAGTAATGCACTCAACCGCCGTGGCCTGTATGCACGGCAATGCATACGACTAGTTTCTCAATACAGGAGGCGTCTTGAGTCAGTCATTAACAACAAAGGCTTTTGTACAAAGTATTAACTAGATTTCAGTAAGCGTGTTCAATACTTTTCCCCTGGGTCATTCCATTTTATGACACAGAACTTAATTTCTGAACTTATTTGTATTGTTTTCTTTGTATGTATGGATTACTTGGGTTGTTACCAACATCTGGTGAAAATTTCCTGTCATCAGCACCTTTAGAAATATATTTACTGAGAAAAATGGTAATGTGTTCAATACTTATTTTACCTGCTGTATGTATATATGTATATATAAATGTATACAAATTATAAATTGTGTCAGGACAATTTTTAATATAACTCCGATTGGATTCGTCTGAAAGAAGAAAGTCATATACAGCTAGGATGGCTTGAGGGTGAGTAAATAACTAATTTTCATTTTTGGGTGAACTATCCCTTTAAGAGCCTGATGAATTGTTAAGGAGTAAGAAATAATTGACTTCCCATGGTATGTTGAATTAGAACATTGTCAAACTACAGCCTATAAGTGCCTAAATAATATAAAATACACCCACACACACACATAGGATATATATACACACATATATACAGTTCACCCCCCCCATCAAGACTGCATTTATTTGATCAAAAATACAGAAAAAAAAGTAATATTGTGAAATATTATTACAATTTAAAATAGTGGTTTTCTATTTTTAGTATACTTTAAATACAATTTATTCCTGTGCTGCAAAGCTGAATTTTCAGCATCATTACTCCAGTCTCTAGTCACATGATCCTTGAAAATCATTCTAATTATGCTGATTTATTAACAATGTTTGAAACCGTTTTTTGCGGTTTAATATTTTTTTGGAACCTGAGATACTTTTTCAGGAACAGCATTTATTAAAAAATAGAAATCTTTTCTAACAATATAAGCCTTTACTATCATTTTTTATCTGTTTAACACATCCTTTCTGAATAAAAGTATTATTTCATCAAAACACATCAAAGCATTGTGTCTTGATCAACAGGGTAATGCAAATCACCTTAAAATGGCCCTAGGGGAAAATGTAGCTGTCAGGGGGCCGTCCTGTTGGCCAGTTCCTAGTTTCTAAAACTAACCCGGTGTGAAAGCCCCTATAGTCTGAATACCACACGTACCAGGCCACAGTTGATAGAGATGCCCTCTCTCGCTCTCTCTCCTGTGGCTCCTGTGCGCTTGAGCCGCTCTGATCCAGCCAGGTCCACAAAGTGAAACTTAGCAGTGAGCGTCTCATACTCGGGCTGAGAGATGGAGCCATCAGACACACCGTTCATCTCTCCGTTCACCTGGAAGAGTAAAAAACAACTGCAGCTTTAAGCCACTAACACAAGCATCTTAAATTACAAATGCAAAATGATGTGCACAACCTTCATCGTTCCTGCATTTTCAATGTGCACTGACATGTTCAGTGTTGATGTTTCTAATGCCAGTGGTTTTATATAATTACACTGTTTTGTACCGCAGCAGTCTGAGCTCTATGAATTTTAATATTTTAAAACTTGTGACCTGCTTAAACTTGTTAATGGCTTTATCCAGAATTTTAGGATTATAGCTCTCAACACGATGCATGCAGTTTTAATGAATATCACACGTGTTGTCAGATGTTGTTGGCATCACTGTGAGCATCTAAAGCGGCTCCTGACTGATGAGTTGATGTGCCGTACCTGTGGCTGCGGGCAGACTCTCATCTGGCAGAGGTGGATGGTGAAGATGGCATGAGAGCGGGAGCTCTGGGCGTTCATCTGCGTGCTGGCGGTGGTGCGGGAAAGAGCGCCCAGCTTCAGACACTGCAGCATCTGAGGAGAAAGCACACAGTACTGTTATTATACTCACTAAAGCTTTCTGTTGTCCTCAAGTCATCAAGTAATAAGAGCCATTTAAAACAAATAAACATGAAGTCAACAATAGAATTACATTCACAAAGCATTTAACTTTCATCATCTGTCACGTTTCTGAGTGAAAACAAATAATCAATGGGAAATAATGTAGGGTGGAACTGTGACAGTAGCTGTTGTCAAAACAATGTAGCTTCTCCAGCAACAAGCTACTTTTTTCAGTGTTAATATAACATTGCACTCTGCAAAAACTGCATGTTTTAATAATAATAAATTATTATTATTATTAACAACAACAACAACAACATTTACATATAATACAAAATAAAGAATTATTCATGTCATAATAATAATAATAATAATTATTATTATTATTATTATTATTATTAATATTATTAACAACAACATTTATATATAATACAGAAGAAATATATGTCATAATAATGATAATAATAATAATAATAATAATTAGTAGTAGTAGTAGTAGTAGTAGTAGTATTTAATACAATATACAAACTAATAATAATAATAATAATATCATCATCAACATTAATATATAATATAGAAGAGATATTCATATTATGTCATCATAATAATAAAGTATTGTTATTGTTATTATTGTTATTATTAGTATTATCATTATTATTCAATAAGTATAATTATAATAATTATTAATTAACACACTGAATTAACATACAAACTAATAATAATAATAATAATAATGATTATTATTATAATTATATTATGTTTAACGTTGCATATGATCAACAACAACATTTAATAAACTATTATTAGTAGTAGTAGTATTATTATTATTATTATCCACATTATAATTATAATAATAATAATAATAATAATATTATTATTATTATTATTATTATTGTTGTTGTTATTGTTATTAATACTATTTATATTATGTTTAATGTTGCATATGATCAACAACAACATTTAATATAATACTATTATTATTATTATTATTATTATTATTCCATGCACAGATACACATCTCTTTTTGTAGCAATAACAGTGTAGTGATATACAAAAAATATATAACATTAACATAAACGTACAATATATTATATTCATGCTGTGTTATAAATGCTGCTTTCTCTACTTTTACTGTTGGCTTAAATGTAATTAGCTCAACGGTAGTTAAAACTATTCTTATGAGTATCTTGTAGCAATGACCTTTTTATTAAATAATCATTTAATACAAAACACTATTTTTAGATGAATCATGCACAATAATACCAAGAGCATCTAAGCAATTAATGTCAATGTTTATGTCATTCTGACTTCAAATGACTCCAGTAAATAACCCAGGCAGATATCTGACCTCCTCCTCTGAGCTGACCAGTCGTGAGGTCACTCCTGTGGTGTAGATGCCTCCGCTCCCATCCTCATGGATCTTAATGTTGGACTTCCGGCCTCGAGCCTCAGGGTCACGTGTGCTGTCGAACAGGTCCAGGATCTCCTCGTTATAGAGCTGCAAGACAAATACGCACACTCAGTGACCTTCAGAGGGCAAAGGTCAAAGAGGCCAATAGGCCAGAGCCTTGCATGTTCGACCTCGGGAATCCCAGAGACCACACAAGCTGATGGACAAGCCAATGATAAATAATGGTAACATAACTCATGAGCAAAACTACAACTGAAGAGAAAATGAAAAAAGAAAAACAAGTGGACAGGGCTTTTCCCAGCTTCCCTCGCTTGAGGAAGTGGCACAGAGGGACTTGATAAAATCAATTTAGGGTTCAAAACAATAAATCAAACTGCTAACATAGAAAAACAATGCACAAAGGAGTTCTGGAAAGAACAAGACTAATGAAATAAGGGCACTTTAATGCCCTATTAAAGCCACCCCAAGGGACGGCGACTGTTCACAGCCACAGAACTTGAGACAAATCTGTGGAGTTATTCCCCACGGCGAGCCACGAATCTGCTGAACAAACAGCAGCCTGTGCCAGACAGCAAGCAGCACGGATCGTTAAAACGCCCCGTTACAGGTTTAAACTCATTACCTAGGCCGGGACTTTGCACGAGGAAGGGGCTAATCGGTTTACAGCTACACTGCTGTCTGCGCAGCCTGCCAGCCCAATACACACTGCAGAAAAAAAGTTTATGAAGTTGTAAATAAAACAATGTTTGGAGTAGGTTTGTAGTAAGGGTGCTCCGATCATGATTTTTGAGGCCGATCACCGATCGCCGATCACAGAAAGCAGTATCTGCCGATACAGATCACCGATACCGATCTTTTTAAAGGGGTCATATGATGCGATTTCAAGTTTTCCTTTCTCTTTGGAGTGTTACAAGCTGATTGTGCATAGATAAGATCCCTGAAGTTGCAAAGACTAAAGTCTCAAAACCAAAGAGATATTCTTTATCAAAGTTAAGACTCTGCCACGCCCCCCTAAAACGGCTCGTTCTAACACACCCCCACATATCTACCTCCCTATGTGGAAATATTTGCATAATGCCACCCAAATGT